TACCATCAGATTCGTTTTCATTCCAGCATGTATTTATCTCCAGTCTGAGGTGAGGCATCCAAAAGCAGCGTACTTTTACAGTCAGTATCAGCCATCTGTGGAGTGTGCTCCAAAAGACTCCAAATGGAGTAATATTGATTGCATCGGAAATATTCAGAAAGTCTTGTAGCTGCACATAACTAAAGTAGTGGGTTTTAGTTTTATTTAGTTAGGAAAATACAGGGGAAAAAAATCCGTTTTCAAGACAGTTGTTTTTAGTTAGAGCTATGTTATCAATAATCTAGTGAAATGTCACCCATAATCTAACTTTCACATTTTAAGGCTTCTGAGTAAGGACTGCGTGTTCGGAGCGTGTTTAATTAACTTACAAAAATGTCAGTCTGGCATTCTTTGATTTGGAGTGGAAGGTTAATTCAGATAACAACCTATAATGTGAAACAATATAACCTTTTCAGCTAGATTTCTTAAAGCTGATTTGATTATGATAAGAGGGGGATACTGTCACTTCTAAGGTCAGCTATGTTTAAACTGTTTTGAATAAGGTGATCTATTCTTTGATTCATTTTAAAAATATATCCTTCAGTCAGGCATGCTTGCACCAAACAAGCTCATCTGCTCCCTCCCTTGTGGGTTTGAATTAGTCCCACTTCACATTATTTTCAAACAAATGTAACTACTTTTTCTGCTGTTCCATGATAACTTGAGCTGCCCTTTAACCCTACCCTCTTCCACAAACCAAATGTGCATTCCCGCTCTCTCCTTTGCACTGATTTTTGATGTTATCAGATCTTGTAGTGGGTCCAGTCAGGGAGCTGAAATGGTAGGAAAATAATCCAACAAAAAGTGAATATTTGCTTTACCTTAACCGAAACCACTGGACAAGCTGAGAACAATTAAGCCTATCTTGAATAATTCAGGGCTCAACAGGACATGAGTGGTACTTCTGGATCCTAAAAGCATAGCAAATCCTTAACTGTTATTCTGTATGGTGAGTGGCAAAATAATCTTACATCTTTTTATATACACACTGCATTCAAGAGGGTATTCTTAAACATGTAGCTTTTGAAAAATTTACTTAAGTAGACTGAAAAGTTCATGAAACAGGTGAAAGGACATGGAGATTTGTAACTGTAGATTTAAACATAGCCCTGACCAGATATATTCCGCTCTTTTGCATAGTCTAGTGGCGTGATCGTAAAACTCATCACATTTATTAGCTGTCTTGTTGGAAATCTAAGCAGAGAAGTCAAAGTCCAAATATATCTGACTTGAACCGATACATCAGGCACCTTCGCTGACTGTAATGACAGGGAGAAACCTCATGCAAACTGCCTCGTGCTCTGTTGGCCAAGGCTGGGAGCTGCTGTAGTGATGGCTGGGAGGCCATTCTGATCTCGTGGTCACGCGTAATGCTGATTAGCTTCCTGTGATGCTCTGGGGTAGAAGGAGGTTAGATCTTGTTTATTTTCCTTCGTCCTGGTGTCTGACTGGGTGGACTTGGCAGTGCTAGGTTTACAGTTGGAGTCGATGATCTTAAAGGTCTTTTCCAATCTAAATGATGCTATGATTCTATGATTCTAGATGCTGTGGAGGCTTTCAAAGGATCTTAGAGCTAAGTTTTCACATTTTTAGTAACTGGTTGGTCTAGACCTGTGGAAATGTTTAATAGGTCAGTTGATTTGACTATGGCATGTTGAGTACTAGACCCTTTAGAAAATGTGATCATTTTCAGTGCATAAATAGGAGCTGAAATGCTCTGAGAGTAGCTATAGGAATGCAGAGATTCTTAATATTACTGAAGCCTGAGAGTCTTCCCATGAATGTATTTATAACTTTAGGCAGTTCTTGAGCAGCTCCTAATAAACTGGACTTCCTTTGCTCTGCAGTAGCCTATAATAAAGAGGGAGAAAACTGAAGTTTATGTTGCCGTTCATTTTTTCCTCTGAAACCCAGTTCCCCTGAACAGATTGCTGATCCAGCACAGCCACACCAATCCCTATGCGCAGAGCTGAAGCCTAGTGACTTGCAGGGGAGTCAGGAGCTGGGGGAGGGAATGAAAGAGGAAAGAGAGGGCCCCGTAAGCCACACTCACTGCCAAAGCCAGTTTCTCATCCAAACTGTGCCTTTTTACTGGACTTCAGGTTTCTCAATGCTTGGACACATTTGCTGAGGAGTTATAAATTGCAGTTATATTTGAGTGAAGATTCTGGCATACCTACACTTGTAGGTAGTTGCAAATACATGTACACAAGCATTTAAGATATTAAAGACTTGTTTAGTAAAACACAACGTCCAAGGAGATTAGTTTCATCATATCTTTTTAAAATCCAGACCATTATTAGATTGTTTGATAGTCTCATGTTTTATATATCTTAAATATTTATTCTCTCTATTATTAATCATTAGATTGTTGCAGCAGAAACTGTATTTTCCTTTTTTCCCCTGGGAAACACTGAGTGTACTACCACAAACTAATAATATTTTTTAAATTTCTATAAACCAGAGCTGAATAATGTGTAGCTTTGCCCTGTAGCTAGATAATGACGTACGTTTGTTTCCACGAGGGAGCAAAAGCATTAATCACAGGTATAGCTGTTATGCCCCGATAAACACAGTGTTTTCATTTTGGCTCACTGAGCTGATTCAGTGGACTTTGAAATACAAGCAGTATCAGGTGCTGTCTGCAGGACCCATTAATAACACTGCAGAAACTTAGCTAACTGCCCGTGCAGAGTAACAGCTGAGTTACGTGTCTGCTATACAGATGTGAGCTGTAGCAATTTCTAACAATTTAAAAAGAAGAAACATTTCCTGTTACTTCTAATAGCTTCTTCCTGCCATAAACCAAAAAGATCAAACAAATTATTTTAAGGAAGCAGTGCATATATACATGTCATTTTTTGACAAGACAGAATCAGAGCTAAAAAGGTATGTACCACTGATTTTATGACAACAGTGCAAAACAGAGATTTTTTTTATCGCTGCTGATAGCAGCCTATGCTCAGGTCAGCCCATTTTTATCTCCTTGACGATAATATCAGCAATCCCTGAAATTGATGATAGCCAGAAGATTGGGCTCCATTTGCCTCTCTGTTCCTAACTGTCTTCTTGTACCTGATCGTTACAGCAGTCTCCATAGTCTGTGTAGTCATACCTGCCATTTGAGCTGTTTTTCACAGACACAGTGGATGAGATTTTCCCCGTTTATCACATTTGTAATTGTCCCATGGAAGACTTATTTTCCCAGCTGAAAGGTCAGCCACCTTGAAGAGCTTGGAAAAGAACTGAAATGTCCTAGACATAGACATAAGCTGTGGCACTGATGGATAGTTCACGAATTCCTTTTTTCTTGCAGACTACTTCTCCTACTACCTATGCAGCTTTGCATGTATCATTTGTTTTCTTTATGTTTTAATTTACTATCACTTTATTATAATTATCTATAGAACCTAGAAATTTCCCTAATGGACCGTGAGCCCACTTTCCTGTGTGCTGCATAAATACGGACTAAACTGCCCAGAGAGTTTGTAATCTAAATATAGGACAAGAGAAGGGACTTAGCATACGAACAGTTATCTTGTATTTGTCGGCATCATAGAAAAGCAGTTTTAGGGATTTAAAGAAGATTATACGAGAGCATTGCTGTTGTTTGCATCAGGGGCAGCATGGAGATCTTGTTTGAAAACGTAACGGGTGAACAATGGAAGCCGGCCCCATGAGAGGGAGTCGGCAGAGTACACTGGTATGTCCCTTACCTTATAGGGGTGCTCTGAGGATGAATATATTAAACATTACGAACCATTCAAGCACTAGGATAATGCTAGTTTTGTAAGGACCTAAAATAGATATACACAGCTAGGCACACAGCCACGATTGTGACTGCATCTCAAATATTGTTTGGTGTCTGCAGGATATTGCTGTAAGAGGTAGGTAAGAAGCCAGCAGCAGTGATGATGTACTTGAGAGAGATGGTGAAACACTGTGGTTTTTTCTCCAGTAATCAGGTTTTAGAACCTAAAATAATGCAAAACTTACAAGTTATAATTGTCTCAGTTCCTCAGGCAAGGGAAAAACCTGTATGAGGAGGATATGCCCAAGAGGGCCTGTTCCTTTGTTTACATGCCTACCGAGGTCCCCAAAGCATCAGGATGAGGAAAGATCATTCCCTGGTGGTTGACTGCAGTGAGGAAGGTGAGAAGGGGAAGGAGATGAGCTTTGTGGTGTACCTGGCAGCAAGGAGCGCTCAGAAGAGAAATGCCCCTCCTCCCGGGGTGTCTCCCCCTTTCTCTATACCTGAAGACAACTGGACTCTGAACTGCACCCTGTGTAGTGGTGTCGGCTGCTGCAAAGGCAGTGGCTGGCTGGCTCGGGGGGCTGGGGCAAGACGGGTCACCCACCCCTTTGTTTTCATAATTGCCATCTGTGGCCTCTTTCTGCCTTAGCTAAAAAAGACTGCCTTCGACTATATCCTTGTAGAGCTAAGGGGACCAGGCATATGCTGTGGATTTATCCAGTGGCATAATAATATGTTTTATTCTCCTGCCAAGGGCACAGCAGTGAGTCAACCAAAAAGAAAAAAAACATTGCCTCGGCCTCTGACTGCTTCACTAAGGCATCCATGTCTAAAGTACTGGATTCCCGCTTTACAAGAATTATATTATAATAGTGCCTAAAGTTAATGTATATCATAGCTACACTTCCATTGTTCACAATAGGTATCTATTCTTTGTTGCTAAGAGATCTAGCTATAGATGATCCAATAGTCAGTTTAGTTCTTCTACATAGAGTTTCTAGATTTATGAAAATAAATTCTAGATTTATGGAAGTATCCTTTTACTAAACATTTTAGTGTCTCATGCATTCTATATTGGATTAGGATATTCTGACCAAAAGTGAAACTCATCTCTGGTTTATTGTACTATTTATATGTCAATAAAAATAAGTAACTCCTTCAAGTGTTACAAAACATTAGCTGATAGGTGAAACAGCTTGGCCTGAGTATGGAGTTTGCTGTACAAAGATACAGCGATGAAGATGAACATAATGGCTTCTTAGAGGATGCAGAGGAAGGTAGTGCCAAGCTGGAATCGTGGTGCGTTTCAGAGCTCCTGCTGCCATTCCTTTGGGCATGTTACCTTCCTGTTATCTTAGGTGGCGTTGCTGTAAACTGACCGTGTAATAACATGGAGGAGAAGTGACCTTGCGGACACTTTGTACAACTAGAATTAATAAATGTTCCTGACAGGGTAATCAGTTGGTTCATTTAGTACATGAGTTTAGCGGCTTAATGGGCAGCAGTGTGAGAAAAGTTTTACTTCATCCTGTTGTGAAAACAAATGATTAGCAAAGAGCAACCTGACAGCCTCACTCAGCCACTGAAAATGAGCCCCGTTTTTCCTTTGCTGCTGGGCTGCTGGTGGCCATTTGGATATTGGTGTGGTATCTTTGTCAAACCTCTTCAGTTTTACTGACGTGAGGGTACATGCTTCTGGAGTGCTTTCTTAGAGCTCTTCTGTATCAAGAGTTTGATTTACAACTCATTCACACATTACTTTTCATCATCCGTGTGATGATTGGGGAAGAATGTAGATATTCGGTGCTAAAGTACGGCACTCACAATTTTACCAGCTAAGCAAATACCACATGGAAAACTAGTAGGTTTCTCCTTGTTGTAATCAGATATTCTTTAAAAAAATAATGCGAGCTCATTCCCTGAAAAGAAACAACAGCTGCAGAAACCGGCTACCGTAGGTAGCAGAGCAAGGTTCCTGGCAGGGCCCTTCAGTAGAGGGACACCTCCATTTACATTAATTTCTAGGCTGCATGGCATCTAATAGGCATACAGCAAAAATATAAAAGGTGAGGTTTTGGTATGCACTGTCTGCAAAGCCTGAAATCTGTGACATTGACTTATTTCACGTACGTCTTTGAAAAGCCATTATAGGGAAAGTTTTGCGCACACTTACAAATATGACTGCCCATGTGGAACCTGGACGAGATAGTCTTTTAATGTAGTTACATTTTTATTGAAATAAAACTTCTGAAGTTAATGAAGGAACTGTCATTTGTTGGCAAGTGCTGTTTCTGTTACAGGGAGGTGCTGTACACGTATCCATAAAATGTGGCTTTCAGGCCAAGTTTCAGAATACATTTAATGCAGTTTGAGGGCTAGTGCTGTCAGGGGTGGGTTTTGCCTTTTCCTCCTTGCCTTTTGCCCTCGCCCTTGTGTTGGTGGAATAGTTTTCACCTGGTCTGTGAGCTGAAGGACTCCTTCCCCAGCTGCACGCTCAATATAAAGTCGTGGGGCAGCCCTGGATGTGCTTTTTGTTAAGGAAGAAGGTTGGAGACAGTGACCTGCTGCTTTTGAGAGCGTCTTATAGGTAGCTTAATTTAGGTATAATGTGAAGTTATACAATACTATAGTCAGGCACATTTTAGACACTATAGGTATTGAGAAAGATTCAGTGAAAAAAATGTAAATGAGTAGGTAGAACTTAGTTGGGTTTTTTGTTTGGTTTTTTTTCCGCCCTCCATAAACGTGCAGGCAGGATTGCAGGAGTTACCTCCTTTCCCTTTTTTTCAGAAGGGAGAAAGAAAATACTTGGAACCAACTATTTTAAAAACTAGGAAACTGGGGTCTTATATTGGATATTCTTCCTCTTGCCTTGATGTACTGGTGTGGAAAGCTGAGTTTGCTAAGCTTGTTACTATCACTTTCAGCTTTCCTGGTGTATTTTCCTGCCTGGCAAGCTCTTGTTTACAAGCTGGAGAGCAAAGAAAGCCCTGAAGAATAAAAATTGTGAAAAATGGAGAGTCTGCTGCTGTTACCTCAAACCTCGCCTGAGACAGCATACAGGGTAGGTAAATTGCTGTATACCAGATGTGATTTTTTTTTTTCCCCCCAGAAATGTTTTTATTGCTCCTAAATAAAATAACAGTTCTGGCCATTCTTGCAGTATCTCTGCCGTAGGGTTCAGTTGTGGCTATAAGGTAGGAATGGGGAAACTGTGTTCTTCATTTTGTTGGTCTTGTTTATTTTACACTACTATCAGATATGGTTAAGATGTGAGTCCTTATGTGACCCTTAGTGTGAGAAAAACGCTAAATTATAATTTAGTTTCTTAAAATTGCAGGAAAATAAGTTCCAGAATTACATTCTTTTCCAGTCTCTCTGTTCTCATGCTTCATATGTGGATATGCTCCTGGTAAGCGGCTATGTTTTAGGTTAGTGGTTGGACTCGATCTTAAGGGTCTCATCCAACCTCAGTGATTCCATCTGAGAAGGACTTGGGGGTACTGGTGGATGAAAAGCTGGACATGAGCCAGCAATGTGGGCTCGCAGCCCAGAAGGCCAAGCGTATCCTGGGCTGCACCAAAAGCAGCGTGGCCAGCAGGTCGAGGGAGGGGATTCTGCCCCTCTACTCTGCTCTGGTGAGACCCCACCTGGAGTACTGTGTCCAGCTCTGGAGCCCTCAGCATAAGAAAGACACGGACGTGTTGGAGCAGGTCCAGAGGAGGGCCACAAAAATGATCAGGGGATGGAACACCTCTCCTACGAAGAAAGGCTGGGAGAGTTGGGGTTGTTCAGCCTAGAGAAGAGAAGGCTTTGGGGAGACCTTCTTGCAGCCTGTCAGTACTTAAAGGGGGCTTATAAAAAAGATGGGGACAAACTTTTTAGCAGGGCCTGTTGCGACAGGACAAGGGGGAACGGCTTTAAACTAAAGGGGGGTAGATTGAGACTAGATATGAGGAAGAAATGTTTTACGCTGAGGGTGGTGAAGCACTGGCCCAGGTTGCCCAGAGAGGTGGTGGATGCCCCATCCCTGGAGACATTCCAGGTCAGGTTGGACGGGGCTCTGAGCAACCTGGTCTAGTTGAAGATGTCCCTGCCCAGGGCAGGGGGGTTGGACTAGATGGCCTTTAGAGGTCCCTTCCAACCCAACCTGTTCTACGATTCTATCCTGCGAGCCGTTCCTGTGCCTCGAAGAGCTCGGCTGGCAGTGAAATCTCGACCGCTGCTGTGCTTTGTGGGGAGGCGGGCTGCGCTTCGTCCTGCCCCGCGTCTGCGGGGTTTTCCCTCCCTTTGCATAAGGAGATGCGGTTCGGAGAAATGCTTCTCCCCTGACGCCAGGGTTTCGGGTTCATTATCCTGACCCCACCTCCGTGCCTCCCCCTGGGCAGGGCCCTGCCCGGTACCTTCGCGGGCTACAAGTAGCTCCGGCAGCAGCGGGGACCGGGGGAGAGCCCTGTCCCTTCCCGAGCTGGGGAGGAATGCCCCGGCTGGCCTGC